ATTATGAGTCAAATTAAGGAATATTTTTTTAAATTTATATTTTGGACAAACCTTGGGGTGTAGGTAATTTGCCCATAAATAAATTACGTATCCTCTTGTTATAAGAAATTTCCTAATGCGCACGCCGCCAACACGAGACCTAACCCAAGTCAAATTCCAAAGTTTCCAAATTTTGAGAGAGTCAAACCGTGTCTTTAAACCTGTCTATATATACGCTATACCCTCAATTGCTCCAAGCATTATACACACATCAAACAAACCAGCCAACCCTCTCTGTTTTCTTCAAGAACCTCTCATCAAATCAAACTCTCCTCTCAATCTCTCATGGCGGTTTCACCTTTTCCATCTTTGATCAAATCACATTCCCATGTACCCATTTTGCATCATAGATTCGCCGTCGTAGAGAGAAAACAAAGCCATGTTATATCAGCAACAGCAACAACAATAGCAGTCAAACCAAGCACAACTCAAAGGCCCAATCAACTTCTCCAACTAATCAACCCTATAGTCACAAAAAATCAAGTTTTGTTCAAAGATCAACACACGAAAGAGATGAACTATGAATGCGAAGGATTGGGTAATAAAGAAGTTAGGATGGTGATGGAGAGGTTGGAGAGAGTTGCAGAGAGGATGAGAGAGATAGAGTTGGAGAAGATGAAGGGTAGATTGAGAGGAAACATGTCTTGTGAAGATGGCATGGTGATGGAGATGATGAGTAGAGAGATTGTGAGCAGCTTTTTGGAGAAACCTATTCAATACTTGAAAAGTTGTGATGGAAAGTTGGATGATAGATTGAAGGATTTTAAATTTTTTGTGGGTATTCTTGAACAATCATGCTTCACAAACGAGAAGATTAATACCCATGTGTAGAATTTTTATTTTGTTTTTTGTTTTGTATTCTTTTGTAAATTAGATATTGTTTCAAACTAACATTGGAAATCAATTATTGAGGTTAAGTTTGGATTTTACACGAATTCTTAATGGAGAATGATATCTTGATTTTGAAGTTTTTATACTATTGTTTGGGGTAAAAAAAAAAAAAAGGATTTGTGGTTACTATGCCTTAAAAGAAATTACATTTGTGAGTATTTTGATTTAAAGTGAATGATTTAGATTGAGTCATGTCATTTAGTCTATTATCTAAATTAGAGGATATTGTTTGAATTTATGGGGTTTATCATGAATCTTATTTTGATGTTTGAAATTGAGTAATATTAAAGATTATGAAAAAAATATTACGAAGATGATCATGAAAGGTTCTTCATTCTTGAATTACAAATACAATAAAACACCATACAATAATTAAAGAATGAAAATTTTTCATGAAACATTTCATGATATTATTTTCATGATTCATAATATTATTGGTTTGAATTTATTTATTTTGTAAAAGTCTTTGTGTTTATTGTTGTTGAAAAAATTTAAGTTGATCTGATAATTGTAATTTTTTTCATTTTATTGTGTTTTTTTTTTTTGAAGACAAACACAATAAAATGAAAAAAGTTATAATTATCAAATTGATTTAATTTTTTTTTCATAAAAGATATACACGAAATGTCTTACAAAATAAATTACTCATATCATCGAAACAGGACTATGGGATCTACGAGCCCAAACAACTCCTCCAGTCGGGACGAGGACAGGAGGCAATCTTTTTAGTTTTTTCAAAATAAACACAATAATATAAAAAATATCACGATTATTATATCAATCTAATTTTTTTATAGATAAAATAAACGAAACATTCTACAAATGGGCCATTTAGGAACATGAGTTAAAAGTCAAAAATCTCGAGCTGTGTTTGGTTGTGTTCTCAAATCATGATTTTGCACCTCGATTCAAGTATGGTATTTGGTAGGAGTTTTGGAATCACGTTTCCAAAACTCTGCAGAGAGTTCTGTCTCAGTCGCGCTTTTAAAAAAAAAAAAATTGAAAATTTTGCCTGATCGGTCATCCGGTCGGTTGACTGGAATAGTGATTTTTTTTTTTTTTGCAATTTGTATGTTAATTTTTATATAATCAAAAAAAACATTTGCTGAATTTTTTATGTGCTTTAAAATAATTTTGAGTTGTATGTTTAGTTATGAGTTGTAAATTTTTGTATCAAATATCAAATGTCACATCAATAATTCCCCACTCAAATTAAAATTCTTTTCAAAACTATTTTCAAAACTCTTTACCAAACAAATTTTCTACACTCAAATCATAATTCCAAACCCCGCAAACTCAAAATACAACTCACACTCTCAAATCGTAATTACAAAACACAACCAAACACAATCTAATATTTTGATATGACTTTTTGACTTTTTACAAAAAGATATGTAAAAAGTAAAAAGAAAAAAGAATCTTTAACTTTTTGATATAGGTGGTAGACTTTTTGATTTTTTTAATAATTTTTTAATTTTTTAGCTAAAAAAATCTCTTGCCAAACGAGGCCTTAATATGTGTAAACCCAAGGTTGCTGGCTTAATGTTCAACAAGATTTAAGGAGGAACGGGGTGGTAGGAGAGGATCACCAAATGGGAAGAACAACTAGGAGAGGGACGTTGGAGTTGGTAGGGAAGGTGGCCATTGCTAGCAGTGGTGACGAGGTTTTCTTTTTATTTTATTATTGTTTTATTTTATTTTATTCTAAAACAATGTGGTTTTAAGACATTACAAGACACCAACTAATGAAGATATTGATTCCAAAAACTTTGGTACTCAAATTGGCCATGAAGTCAGCTGCAGCACTCACTTGCACTATTAACTAGCCCTTTCAAGCGTTCTTTTCCTGGATCATAGCAACAACAAAGGCGAAATACCAAATCAAAAAAGTAGTTTTATGTTTTTGTTTTTCCGTAAAGGTGGGTATTGAGAATATCTCTAAAGGAGGTAAAAGGGTTACATGTAGCGGTGGAGTAAGAAAATTAAATTAAAAGGGGACGTTTATTAATTATTATTTTATTTTATTTTATTTTCATAACTAACAATAAGAAAATAATAATAATTTTTGAATTAATATTAAGTACAAAAAATTAAATAAATTGTTACAAAAGTATTTCACATAAAATTTTACAATTAACTTCGACTAAAATCGAAAAAAAATATTGCGTGTAACTAGTGTATCGTGGACAATATAAAAAAGTCATATATTTAAGTCGTAAAATAAATTTTATAATGGTAAGATAAATCAATTGTTTACAAAATTCGAATAAAAATTTCATATAATAGTGATATCACATGATTTTTGACATATGATATCACCAACTAATAGTAAAGCAACATATGAACGATGAACTCCACATGCAAATATAACTAACACTCTTAGTAATTTTTACATATATATGGTGAGATTAATTATATTTACATATCAATAATGATGGATATTACATTTATATTAAAAAAATTTTACAAAATTTTCATACATAAAATATAATTTGTTGTAGTCACTTCATTTTTAATAAAACAATCACTATTATTTTCGTAAATTTAAAAATACCCTTGATATTTTATTCTAAATATTATTTTTGTTTAAAATTTTATTTATATACATAAAAAAAAATTCAAGGACACATGACCCCTAATCTCCATGTGATTCCATCATTGATTGTACCCTTATATATTGATAATTTTTTTTCCCTTATCCCACCTATATATAATTTCTCCCAATGTTTTGCTCGTTGAATTTGAAGGACTTTCGACTAACCTCGTGGCACATGATGGTTTCATGTTTTTTATCACGTTTTTCTTGCTTGCATAAACCTCTTTTTTTAATTACTATTTAACACTTTTGTCCATGTGACATTGGTTCTTTTTTATTTATTCTTTTTTTTTTTGTCCAGTTATAAATTAAAATTTAAAAATCCTAACACGTGGTATTTTTTTTATTATTATTTAACACCTTTGTCCTTTTCATGTTTTTCAAAATTTTCAAAAGAAATAGGTGCTATCAATTATATATAAGAATTTAAAAGAACGTTCGTGCCATAAATATAATTTCTAAACTTATTTAACAATCACCCCAGACGCTAAGTTCTAGGCCACAAGGAAACACATAACCCCTGTGTTTATTTGTATTTTAAAATTTTAAAATCTTATAACTTCTCTTTTTTTAGATAGAAAAAATCCCATAACTTGAGTTCTATAACTCCATATTTAACAAAATTAATATTTCTGAATTCATATTTTCAAGATCTTTTAAACAAGTATAAAAACTTTGACAAAAAAATAGGGACATTTTTGCCCAGTGTTTTGTACTTAAAAATCTTAAAATTTCATAACTTGAATTCTACAAATTATTGTTAATAAAATTGATATTTCTAGATTTGTCTTTTCGGGATCTTTCAAATAAAATCAATATTGAATGAGAAATTTGAAAGAGGAAAAAAAATGGGACAAATATGCTTATATGTGCTTTTTTAAATTTTTTTAAAAAATAAAAATAGGAACATATTGTATACTTTCAAATCACTTTCAAAAAAAATTTAAAAAAAAAAAAAAAAAAAAAAATGAGCACAAAACGATGAAAAGGCACAGCAACTTGCCAGCGATCTCAATGAGAACACGAGAAGCAGCCGCCATTGCTTTCATTCAAAGTTTCTCAAAAAATTCCACAATTTTCAATCTAAAATCTTCCTTCCAAATCATATTTATTCACAAAGCTTAAAACCATATATTATTTTGATTATAATAAATTGCAAGTGATTTTTTCCTAAAATTTGTAACCAATCGAAGTTCCCTTGGCAAATAATTGATTCTAATTCGGTTTGATTAAAAGCAATCTTTTCTAAAATTTGTGACTAGATAAAGTTTCAATAATTGGTTCTAAATTCGGTGCCAATTGTTGGGTTACATAAGTTCACACTCGTCATAATATTCTACCTTTTTTGTACCGAAAAATAAATAAAATTATTCCATCTTATCCCCAAAAACTTTTTTTTTAATAATTTTGCAAAGAACCAAAAAAATGAAGAAGAGATACAGTAATAAACAGTAGAGAAGATTCAACGAGATTGTGAAGTAGAAAAAAAAACAATAAAATCCAGTTTCTAATAATAATTGTTTATGCTACATTTTTAAAGTAGTAGATTAACCTTCCAAGATTTTTTTTTAAAATCTTAATTTTTATTTATTTTTTGCACTTTTTTTAGCATTTTGAGATGAAACTTACAATTTCCTTTTTATTTTTTTTCCTTCTTCTTTCTTTTTCTGATTCATTCATTCATTCATTGTCTTCTTCCATATTACGATACGGTGATGAATCTCCCAAAGACAGAGTAGCAATACAGCTTTCAGATCGACTCAGCTCCGTTAGATCGATCCCTCCGGCGTTATTCATCGGACTACTAGGCATCGACCTCGACGACCTCGGAGAATCCAGACTTCGCCTGAGAATCTGTCTCATCGCCGAAATCAAATGAACCGTTGGATTCGGCGGTGGTCCGGCCGAGTTGAACTTCTTGCAGAAATTGATATGCCGAGTTAAAGCTTCTTCAGTACTGATCAACCTCTCAGATCTCACAATTTCGTCTTTCACAGCCTCGGCACAGAGTCCGCAGATCCATTTCCCCTGAAATCGCTCGCGAATTCGATCGATATACGCGAGCGTACACTCCTCTGTTAATCCACAACAGTCGCATTTCACGAACTCAACTTCGATTTGAACTGCGAGTTTCGTCGCAACAGTTTGTGATTCATTATTTGTCGTCGCAGAGATCACCATCGCATCGCTCATAACTGTTGCAGACATCCCCAAAAACCCTAGGAAAACAACACAGCTAAATTACTTGTGATATTAAATGAAATAAAATCAAACCAAACAATAAATCGAATACTGATTCACCGAGAATTACCAGCAAACAAATCCGATTTCGATGTTTTACGATGTACTTCTGTGTTCACCTCTCTTTTTCCCACTCGCCTTCTTCAGACTTTGCTTCTTCGGGAATGAATCTGCACTTCAAAGACATTTCAGAGAAAAAACTAAACTCTGAAGTTAACTTATGATATAGAGAGAGGTTGAGAGAGAAAAAGAGAATCGAACTTGTGATATCAAATCGAGAATGAAAGAAAGAAAGAAGAGATCTGGATTGATTTTTGTTTCTCGTATACGAAAATTCTCCACTCGGTTTTAGAAGAAGAGAGAGTTGAGTTGAGAGAGAAAGTTCGATGAAGAGAGAGCGAAAGATAGGGCTGAGGGGGAGGAGAGAGAGAGTGGCGTTGGGTATTTAGAGAGAGAGAGAGAGAGAGAGAGGGTCCAATGATTGGCGGTTGAGAAGGCGGGGATATATACAAGCCACGTCAGCATTATATGCTGTCTACTATATTGCTATTAAATTCACTAGATTATGAGTAAATTACACTTTGCCTCGTCACAAAGTACCTAATTTCTTACTTTCATCTATCGACAAAAATATATATATATATATATAAAAACATTTAATCCTTGAACTATATCACTCCCTTCGTCCCAGATTATTAATATCTTTTGGGGAATTTTTTTTTTTTAAAAAATAAATATAACTTTTTTTATAGTATAATTATTACATTTTAAAAATACTTTTCAAAACTATCCTTTGATTTTTTTTAAGGAATGTCAATTTTTATAATTATACTTTTTGTGTATGAATTGAAATTTATGTTATTTTAGTCCTTAATTTTTAAAAACTGACTAATATTTTAGAACAATAAAAAATAGAATAGGAAACTAATATTTTGAAACGGATTTTGTTAGAGTTGAGTTTCCCTCATGTTGAGATCTCAATCTGAAAGAACTTGAGGGACCCGTGGAGCTTACCATAGCTCTCATTTCAATAATTCGAACTGTTCATTTTTTAGGACTCGTTAGGTAGAATATTCATACAAAAAATTAAGATGATGGAACATTAATTGCTATATATTTGAATCAAATTTATATTATAAAAAAATAGATGATTATTTTTAAAATTATATTTGTCTTCCATTTTTTTTTAAAACAAATATGATTCAAATATATAACTACCGATATCCAATCATCATATTTTTTGTATAAATATGCTACTCGATGAGTTTTACAAAATAAACGGTTCAAATGATAACTTGAGAGAAGCCAAACCCTTTTTGTTAATATAACCCCCCTCCCTTATTTTTTTTATTTTTATTTTTGTCAAAGTAGCAATTTTGTTTTTTAAATTTAATCCTTGAACCAATGTTAAATTCAATCTTGAAAACTTTGCTCTTCGTATGCTTTTACGTGGTATAAATATAATAAACATTATATATTATAAGGTTTGGCCAATGACAGTTTTAACTTGTGTTTAGATTATAAATTTAGGTAACAAATTAAAAAGAGAAAAAATATATATAAATGAAATGTTAATGAAACAGTTATATTTCACATACATTTGATCCATTTTTTCTTTTTATTTTTTTAATTTTTATCCAAATATATGATCTAAACAAAGTCTTAAGAATTATGAATAAGAAATACAAAATGTCATATTATTTAAATCTAAATATATATTTTTAAAATTGTTTTAGCATTTTCTTATAAAATGTATGTGAAAATTTTATTTTCCTTCAAAATTCTATCTTCTCTTATTTCTTTTCTTTTCACTTCTTGTGTTATACATATACTTTTCATCAGCTAGCGAGACAGTAGTTACCGATCACATCAGCGTTCATTTGGAAATTGAATTTTTTATTGAATTTTTAATTTTTAATAAAAAAAAATATATAAAAAAAATAAAAATATTGATTTAATAACTTGTAGCATTTTTTGTTTTTTAACTTTTTAACTTAAATTTAAGTTTTCAAGGCATAGCTACCAAAGAGTGTATGATCCCCATCTTTCTCTATAATTTGTCACCATATATATATATATATATATCAAATACTTTAATGGGTAAATTGAAAAATAAAAATAATTTAGGGGCATAAACAGAAAAACAATCAAATTTTAAGAAGACAAAATGTAATATATCCAAAAAAAATTGATTTTCTCAAACCAATAAGAATATGCCACTCTTCTATTATACACCTATCAAACAAGCAGGAAAACTATTTTGCTCACATAAGTAATAATATATTCAAAACAACATATACCTTTTTTAATTAATTAAAATAATTTAATAAATTTTTATTTAAAATTGTTATGTACCTAAACTCCATTGATTTAAGTTTTATGAAATTATTTTTATATGCAGATAGGATATATGTCATGTGATATTTTTTATTATTGTGGTTGAATTTAACAATTAGAATCCTACATTATTGATGAATATTTAAAAAATATTAAAATATATATATATATATTTATGACTAGTAGAAAATAATATCACCTATATTCTATTTACATAATAAAAAATTCACAGTTTTATGGGTTTGCTTCTCAATATTAAATTCCTATCGGTAGATTAGGTGGATTGCCAGCTGTACATAAGTGGACCGGTCCAATTTCAACTCGAATTATTTTATATATATCAATTAATATATTAATTAATGTCTTAATAGATAATAAGACATAATTTTAAAAAATTAAATATTTATAATTTATATAATAAATAAAATTAATAATAATATCATAACATATATTAATATATTAATTAATATACTAATTGGTATATATAAATTATAATACAACCGTTTCAGCTCAAACCAAACCAAAACCAAAATGAGCTGTTTGGAAAGTATTCCTTGCTTTTTTTGGGTTCTCTTCTGACCAATACTAATACACCACGTGTAAACCATTGACGTGTACGACAAAAAAAATCTGATTTTATTCACATTTTCACACTCAACTTGGTGCATGAACATAACACAAATTTTTATCCATTCAAAGTAATAGAGCTCGATTTGGTATACACATTTGAAAAGTAAGTGAATAAAATATAAGTTTTTATTAGTTTAAAATCATAAATTTTATAACTTTAACTGCAATATAAATAAATTTCAGCCGCACAATGTAATTTCAGTGTAGATTTTATATTTTAATTCTATTTACCTAACATTATTATTCTACATGTAGTGGGTGAAGGAAGAGGCCTGGGGTCTGGGAGTATGCTCCTCCTGGAGGTCTCAGGTTCGATTCCTACTCCCCGCAAGGCTGCTGTGTGGGCCACTGAAGGTTGGCCCGGTCGTTAACTTCAGGGCCCTCAGGAGTAGTCCCATGCTTCGGCTATGGGGATATCTGAGTTATCAAAAAAAAAAAAAAATTATTATTCTACATGTGGTCAAAATTTGATATTTTGTTTACAAGCCAAAAAATGTGAATAAATTCATTTTCAAATTAGTGAGATTTACAATTTTTAATGGTGTGAATATATTTTTTTTTAATGAAATTCACAGTTTTGGATCAATTAAAGTGTGTGAATAAATTTATTTTAAATGAAAGATTTATTATTTTGAACCAATAAAAATTTATATTTTGTACACACAGCTTGGATCAAACATGTGATAAGGGAATTTTTTTTGTTCTCTATAAATTGCACTCCAATTTTTTTATCCAAAATACAATTTTATTGATTTTTTTTTTTTTAATTTGGAATTAATTACTGTTGTATTGTAGTACTTTGGGAGAGGTTAGTTTCCAAATTAAGCACTAATCACGGCATTTAACCGTTTTGGACAGCTGTTCTTTCCTGTTCTCGAACTTTCTAATTTTAGTCTTCGGCTTATTTTCGGATGGGTCATCAGGACCACTAACAAATTTAAATTAAGTTTAAAAAAATTTCATAAAAATATCTTTTATAGCGAAGGGACTTTTTGTGAGCAGTTTTGTTAGAGTTTCAAAACTTTCAACTAATTTTTAAAATTTTTGAATTAAAAAATGCTATTGGCTAACACATTAATGTAATAATTAAAAACTACTGATTATTCTATGATTTATGCTTTTCAAAAGGAAAAATTTGGAAATATGGAAATATTTTCAAAATTGTATTTTAAATTTTGAAAATATTAATATGGTAAGATTTTAGGTGTAGGGTTTCCTTTTTCAAATTAAGAATTATTTACAAATAATACAAAAATAATTATTTTCAAATAATATTGCATTGCAATTATGATAACATAATTTAAGAAAACAATATGAAAAGATTTTAAAAATTGTATTTTAAATCCTTACGCAGAAAGTACATATTAATTAATTATTTTTATTAAAAATACACTTATCAGATTTGTTTGGTTTAATTTTTTTAAATTATTTTTTAGTTTTTGTTTTTTTAACCTTCAATAAACAGTTTTTATTTTTTCATATTTTAGTCAAATACACCAAATAAAGATATTTATGGATTTTTTTTTATTAAAAAAAATTACTAATAAACAAAACACTATGAAAAATGTGTCATTTTTTTGTTTTTATTTTTGACCTTTCCATTTTTAATGATTTTCTTTTTCTTCAGTTTTCTTCACAAATTTTACTTTTTAGGTGCATTTATGATTAGGGTTATTTACACAAAGACCTCCTAAACTATTGAAAAGTATCACTTTTCCCCCCTAAACTATAAAACCGTACAAATGGACCTCCTAAACTATACGGTTTTATACGGTTTTATATTTTAAGGGGCAAAATGGTACTTTTTAATAGTTTAGGGGGTTATTTGTACTTTTTTATAATTTAAGGGGTCAAAATGATACTTCTCAATAGTTTAGGGAGTCTTTGAATAGAGCAAATGTACCATTTATCGAGGAAAATGAGATTAAAGCCTATTACTTAAAAGTTGCCATAATAGCAACCCAACCTAGTTGATTGGAGATCCCAAGTCTAGGTTCAAAGGGACAACTGGATTATGGATGACTTCAAGTATCACTAGGGATGGTTACTCCTACCCATTTCTATGATAAGAAGATTGATATCTGCAGCATTAGTAGGATAAGCTTTGCTTTTAATGGTTCTTATAGCTTGGACATCCAAGTGGGGTATAGCAGGATACTCTTAATAAGAAATCACTTATATGAGTGTGAACTGGGCCGGTTCTGTGAGAATTGAGAAGGCTAAATTCTCTAGAACACTCATGAATTACCAGGCGTTGTTCAGGGGCAAAATGAACATAACTGTAAGAACCAAACTGTCTACGGATACACTATATGTAGTCTATTGTCTTGGCTTATACAAACAGCTGAACAGTTCAAAGTATCACGTCCACTGGTTAGCCAATAAGTCCGATAGGCTTTCACTAGAGGAGGTTCAAAGCCAAAACCTACCTATCTTGATGGAGTGTATCTTCTTAATGTACTATTTCTTTGTCTGCATCTTGTTG